CCCCTCTTCCATAGTAAAAACCCTGCCTTCCCTGAGCTCTGGGCTTTCCACTTCGGCTGCTGCGTTAGGGCGTGTTGGGAGCCCAGGCTCGAGCTGGCAATAAAGACCCTGGTGTGCTTTGCTTCAGGATCGGCTCCCTGGTGGTCTTTGGGAAACTCGAATCTGGGCATAGCACCTCCTTGTGACCTGGCCGATTTGTCAATACTTAACACTGTAAGTCGCCCTTCACTGTCAGCTGTTTCTTAAATGAAGCCCCCACCTCCACCAGGCCCCTCTCTGGAGCGCTCGCTCGCCACAGGCCCTCACAGTCAGGCCTCCATCCTGAGTGCTTCCTTCAGCCTCCACTGGCTCTGGCTGTCACTCGCAGGACCAGGGCATCCGCTATGTGTGGCGTCGTGGGGAAACCATCTTGCAGAAAGGCTTGCTTGCTGCTGGAATTTGTATTGAGTGAGTGTCTTAGAGACACAGACGAAGCAGCAGGTTCAACCAGGGTGCTTCCACTTATGATGGAAAACTCAGTCTGTGGATGTAGGAGAATTTATGCACCTGCAGTTTCGACCTCAAGGAGGGTGGGACAGGGGGCGATGGAGAGAGTTCTCAGTTGACTAGGAGTTTGCTGTGCTTGTCTGATCAGGTTTTCGTGGAAGCCCATCCTGGCATCCTCTGCTGCTGAGCCACCTTCCCTGTGTGGGCCACTGAGAGTGAACATCTGATTTCCAGGCTTAAGTAGGGCATGTTCACGGGCACCTCAGGGCTCCCGTATTCACTTGGCCCCACCTAGACCTCAGGGGTCTGATGTTACGTGTTAGCTGCAGCCTGCTTCGGCCACTAGGCTGCCCACTCTGAGCCTCACATGGACTAGGGTGCCCAGCAGGCACCTCCCCCTGCCTCTCACTCTGGAACTTTTGGTTTTCTCCTGACCTATATGAGTCACAAGGGGTGTGTGTGTGTGCATGTGTGCATGTGCGTGTGTGTGAGAGAGACAGAGAGAGAGAGTTGAGGGAGGGAAGGGTTACTCAGTTATGTGAAACATGGTGGTCTTGCTTTAAGACGGACCACAGCAAGCCTCACAGGTGCCCAGTGTGGTGGAAGGCTCCACCATCTATCAATAGCTTTGTCTACACAAAGCTTCCAACTGACCTTCACACAACTGCAGAACTGCCTGTGACGTCTCCCAGGACCCGTCCCCTGGGTAAGCAAACTTGGCTGTTATCAGAGCTAGGAGAGGCCGCCTATGTGTGCCTCTCTCAAGGCCGCCCCCCACCCCACTGCTCAGGGCTGTCTTCCCAGGGTCCAGGCACAGCCAACGCCGCCCTCCCCCCATCCTTCTCCACCCCCCAGTGCTCCCCCAATTCTCTTCTCACCTTTTCTCTCTGAACTCCCTCAACCAAGTAAGAAAATTCCCCGCATGATAGGAAGATTCTTTTTTTAAATACATACTATTTTAATCTTTGTAGTCTGTGGTCTATGCCCAGAATTTTCATATGCAAAATCCGCATTGAAGATTCATAAAGAAAAATACATGTATCTTTTTTGTCAAGCACCTGGGGCTTGCATGTAAATACTCCAGTTTGCAGACTTTTTTTTTCGAAATTGTTTTGGACTTCAGGCTATTTACTCTCTCTTTAAGGCAATGAAGCCCAGGGAAAGGCAACAGGGCCCGAAAACCAGAGCACTCTTGGCTTAAAATTCACAAATACCATCTAGGTAGGTGATCCAAGATTCTTCCACTTGCTCTTTCCCTAGGATTCATGAAAGGAAAAGCCGTAAAATGTCTCTTTTAAACTGCTAGATTTCTGCAATCCTTTCACTACTCCTCTGAAGTTTCAGCAACTTTCACTGCAATGGAGGAAAGAACAAGGCAGAAGCTAAGTCCCAGGTCTCAAAATTTCTCTGTAGCTGGTTTGGCACGGCAGGAAAGCGGGCACCATCATTCTCACAGCAGTATCCGGACTGACTGTCGAGCCTGCATTACATGGCACAGGTCCTTCAGGTTCACTTAAGGGACCGTTCTTTTTTGCCTGTTTCTGAATTGTAAGAATTCCCTCCCCAACTCTACAGCATTTACTGGACGTAAGTTTCGCAATTACCTATCATTTATTGAAGCTCATTTAAAGCACACCAACCCCTGAAATGGAAAACCCCGACAGCAGACAGCGGGGGGGCAGTAAGTGTGGGCTCTAACGGGGGAGCACAGCATTGGAATCCGCAGGCAGGAACCGGGGTAGCTGCACGAGGGGCGCCTCTGTGACGCCTCTTCTGGCCACGAGTCCGGCTCCCGGCAACCCCACGTAAGGAAACCCCACAGAAATAAAGGGAAATCTGCTCCTGGCCAGAAAATAAATGCGAGTTTCGTGACTCGGCCCGGGTTGAACTGCGGTAACAACCGCACCCCGCGGGGCCGGGGTTCGGGGCCCTCGACCGGGGCGGGGGCGGCGCGGCCTCCTGGGGTTTATTCGGAGGGCCAGGCCGACCGGGCGCTCGCTGGGCGCGCCCACGCCCCCTCGGGGCCGGCCGCCGCCATCTGCCCCGACGCCAACATGGAGGCTTTTGTTGACCTAAGCCCGGCTCAAATCCAGCGCGTAAGGCGCCGCGCCCCGACCCCGACGCGCCTCGGGGCAGAGGCGGTGGGCCGCCCGGGTGGGGTGAGG